GTTTCTCTTCCTGCTTTTTTACCTTTTCACTCCATTTTGGCTCCAAAAATAATTTGCTTATTTTACTTTCATTTTTCCACCCAAGATTATTCTGGAATTAAGCATGTTTCTTCTTATCTTACAGAGAATCTGGACCTGCCTGACAACCATAGTCATGTAGCTTTGTTCAACACTTTATTTTTCATGGCAGTGTCATCTCAGGGTTAGCACAGCACAGTGCTGCTGCCATTCCTGTCTTTCCATCCTTCCTGAAGGGTTAAGGACGACAGTGGTAGGTTTTACTTGAAAGGGTTGAGAAACTGCTGGAAGGCCTTCAGTTCATTTTAAAGGAACGTGTTTTCAGCCCCCGCGGCCAACTATTAGGAGAGCCCATTTATTTGTGAGACTCTAAGCATTTCTGTCCTGAGTGAACCTCCCCGCAGCGATACAGAGCTGCCCCCAGCATTGCTGGCACGCTACGGGGCGAGGGGAAGCATCTCACACCGAAATGCCTGCCGGATTACCATCTACAAACGTCGCTTCCAGGTAATCGATAATCTGCGTTGCCTCACAAATGATGTTTTCCCCATGGATCAGGACAGGTACTTCTCCGGAGGAACTCAAGCGCATGAACCACGGCTCGTTGTGCTCGCTCAGCGGCAGGTTTACATCGTGCTCCTCGCACTTCAGCGCCTTCTCGGCTATTGCCAGCCGCACCTGCAAGGGCACCACGGCTCACCCCGGGGGCAGCAGTCCCCGCACGGCCGAACCCGGCCCGCCTCGGCCGCAGCCAGGGGCGCTTCCTCCCTCCATCCCCCCTACCCGGCTCCCCCGCGGGCGGGCAGGGGCTCTCGGCACGGCGGGAGGGGCGACCCGGGGCCCGCAGGCCGCCGCCCCGCGCCCCCGCCTCCCCCCTCACCTTCTGCGAGGAGAAGGACTGCGTCCAGTGGTATAGCACCAGCGGCGCCATGACAGGCTCGGCTGGGCTCGGCTCGGCTCGGCTCGGCCCGGCCCGCGGCGCCGGGCGGGGCGGAGGCTGCGCGGGCAGGAGCGGCGGCCGGGCCCGCCCCGCGCCGATCCGCTCCTGGAAATCAACAGAAGGGAAAGCCCGGGGGATGCGGAGGACACCCCCTCTTCCCCCGCCGCACTGCTCGGAGAACGACCCTTCCTAAGGGGAAACCGCCCGCAAAGCCGTCTACAGCATCCCCTAGGGAAGCGCAGGAAGATGGATGCGCAAGTGGAAAAGGTCACATGGCAGGATTTTCCCTTTTGTATTTATTTGTTTCTTTTCTTGAACGAGTGCTTCCACTATGAATTTCAGGGACATTGACATCATGTGCTTGGGGAAGAAAAAAAATACTACCGGAAGACATACTGAATGGGACCCTGTGGGCATAGATCCTCTACTGCGAAATGTGTCATAGCAAGAAGGAACACTAAACTAAACACTAAAGATTGAGAATAACGTCTTTTGCTTCCTGACGTGTTCTTTCAATCTCAAGAGAGAAATTTTCTTAATTATTTTTTTTTCTAGACAAAATTATAAAATTGAACAGTTTTGCAAGGCTTTTTTCATTTCCCCTGTGTGAAGGTCCTTTCTGAAAAGCATTTGATAACAATAGCTTCCATCATCAGAAAATGCTTCCTTTGTATTTTACACTGGAGATAGTTTAGAAGATGCAGTTGCTGATAGTATATCCATTAGACACTATCAGCATCATCAAGGAGATTTTAGCAAACTAGAAAGCACGGTGGGATTACAAACTGCAGATTATTGTTCTCTTCATTCTGACTGCTCAATCCCCAGTAAAGGCAACTACTTAAGGCAAGCCTGATAACTCACTCCCACGTGCAATTTCTATGTAACCGATGAACCCCACCAGTAGTATCCCGAAGACCTGACCCTAGTATGTTGAGAGAGACATCCCAATAACAAGTACATTTAAGTTTAAGGGAAATTTTTACTAACGTTAAGCAAGTGAAAGGATTTAAGTCACTGAAAGAGACAAGGTAATGGACAAATCTTATAAATAAAAAAGAGAAGAAACAAAAAGCCAGCTTCCAGCCCTGCACTGGTTCATGTAAGTAGACCCAAGGGCAGCCCGATGCCTTCCCAGAGACTTCTCGGTGCTAGTCACAAACCAAAATAATCTCTTCAGAAGGTCAGGCATGACAAGAGGCTTCTCACAAATACCAGCTGACAGCAGTCAATGCGTTACTGATGGTAAATCCTACATTTTGGGGCATTTAATTTAATTGGAATTCTTCAGAAAGTTGGAGAATGTGTTTAGAATGGATAATAAGAATGCAGTTAATGGAATGAGATAAATACATTATAGCTGGATTTACTTCCCTTTAAGATACATGTCTAAGGTAAGAGTGCTGGAATATGCTCACATACACCAGGGCTTTAACCTGTGACTCACTGACACATGGATATTCTAATGGGTCCCTGCCTAGGTTGCTATACAGCAGTTCCTCACAGCTAGATCTTACAATAACTCAAGGCAAGAAACTGGGATTTATTTATTTATTTATATGCACTAGACACTCTTTCAGGTTTCTGTTTTGCTATTTTTTCTTTAATTTTGCCTTTAAATCAAAATGTCATTTTATCAGTCACCACATAGACCACTACTCCAATTCTCTTGTTCAGCTAATTAATTTAATATCACACATAGACTTCTGAATTATGTTTTGTTACCTGGTTTAGCTGCCTAGAAAGGCAATGAAAGGTATCTATATTATAGTACAATAAAGAAAAAAGGACCAATGCAAACAATATTTCCTACTTCAGACCTGTTCAGTAACAGAGCAGCTGCAATCATATTCAGATGTCTCGTCTTCCTGCAATCTAGTCATCTGTATTGCAATGAAATACAGAAAGGACACTGACCAATTGGAGCAGGTTCTGAAGAGGGCCACCAAGACAATAAGGGTAATGGAGTACCTTTCCTATGAGGAAAGGCTAAGAGAATTGGGATTGTTCAGCCTGGAAAAGAGAAAGCTTAGGAGTGACCTAATTGCAGCTTTCAGTACCTGAAGGGAACCTACAAGAAGGAAGGAGAGGGACTTTTCACAAGAGCGTGTAAGACATTTTACAATAGCCTGTAAGACTTTTTACAAGAGCTAGACAAGGGGGAATGGATTCAAACTGAGAGTAAGTTTAGATTAGATATTACGAAAAAATTCCTTACTTTGAGGGTAGTCAGGCACTGGAACAGGCTGCCCAGAGAAGCTGTGGATGCCCCATCCCTGCAGGTGTTCAAGGACAGGCTGGATGGAGCTCTGAGCAACCTGGTCTAGTAGTGGTGTCCCCGCTCACGTTAGTGGGGCTGGAACAAGATGATCTTTAAGGTCACTTCCAACCCAGGCCATTCTGTGATTCAGTGATAAATACCACCCGTATGTCCATGTTAATAGTCCTGGCTTGTTGTCAACAGCTCAGCTGAACGAGGGAGCGCCTGCCGCCGGGCTCCCCCCAGCCAGGCAGGCAGCTGTTCTCAAGCCTGACCACACGAGGCCTCCCTTTTCCAAATATACGATGCAAAGAACCTTCTCATTCCAGAGATTATGAAGAAGAAAAGGGGCTGATCCCTTTTCGTTCAGGACGAGCACCCAGCCATCCCCCTATGTTTGTTCCCAAGGCCTTCTACCTCCTCATACCTGAAGAAAAGCAAGCAGAAGGGCCAACCTATGAAAAAGCTCACTGCACCCTGGACAACCTTGTTCCACATGCATTTACACAAAGCTTTACACAACTGAAATTAAAGTCTCCATAAAGGCACTTTTAATGTGTATGTGTCATGAATACAAAAGCAGCACACAGCTGCAAATCTGACTGGCATCTTGCATCTGCAAGCAGCCCCTAGCCCTGCCTGATAAAACATTTTTCCAGTCACACTGATGTTCTTGCCCTATTTCTCTACATGGCCTCTCTGGGGTCTGTACATGCTTACAAAAATATATATATATATACACAACCCCCTACAAGTGTCTTTTTAATTCACAAATTTTTACATCATGGGAAAAAAATAACATTTACAGCTAATATTAATAACTAAACAGTACAAAAATCAACTTGATAAACAGTTGTATAAATTGGGTCAAACATCTGGAAATCAGTATTCTGGTAATCAGATTCCTTCTTTACTTCACCTTGCACTCCATGATATTGACAAGAAACATCTAGGCCAGATGTGTCATTAAAGTGATTGATGCAAGTAAAAAATTACTATTTATTTCTAAACAGATTTCGTTGTGCATATTGAAAACCAAGTTTGATTAGATTACAGGGGCAAAAAAATCTTTTTGCTTTTTTCTATGCAGCCAGAGCCATTATAGCTAAAAATTAACTGGATTCTGTTTATGCATCATTAACAGATGCATTGGTTCAGTTCCAAGTGCAGAACTGACCTAATTGACAGTGATGGAGGAGTTAATACTGGTTAGGAAAGTAAGACAGGTTCTGTTCTGGACCTTCTGTCATCAATAGTTATTGACTAAATTCCAGTGGCAGATGCTGCATTACTGTTGATGACATGAGTCAAAAGAACTTAGCATTGAATTCAGATACACAGCTGAGACTTAATATTGACACAAGAACTGTCTTTAATGTGACTGATGAATTAGATATGCAACTACTTAGAAACAGTGAGAGCAAAGATACATCTTGATAGTCCCAGCTGAGACTGTCTGTGCCCTAATTTAACTGCATATAAAACCATGGAGGGATGGCAATTCTAGATAACTGATGCATATTCTCAAGAAATATAATTAATGAGCTACCATTTTACATCCAACAAAATCAACTTATAATAGAATTGATTTAGTCATTTTCAAAGTTACTTAACGTATCATACTAGGTTTTATTCTGGGATTTCATCCCAAAATTCTTTCATGTTTTCTCTAAATACTATAGTCCAACCTGTTCCATGCAGGAGTTTCATATATAAACACTGCTTAATAATTAATTTTTCTACATAAAATTCTTAGAAGTTTTATAGTAAGTCTATTTCAAAATAGTTATTAGTGATTACAATATAACAAAAATATTCATTGTTCTAATGCTATATAAACTTCCATAGTTTTGATGACTGGAATGAATTTTCCTGAAATATAAGGCTTTTAAATCAAACACAGAAAGATACTTAATGTATTTACATAAGGTGAAAAATGTGCAATTTCTTAGCTGTCAACCTTAAAATCTATATATTAACATTAAAGCTTTATCCAATCTATCACTCCTCAAGCTTTTATAGAAACAACATCTTCATTATAAAATCTAACATATCAGCCTAATTCAAAAGAACTAAATCATGTTTTTATAAACTTATCCATGTCTGCTGTCTCTGTGCACAGGTGTAATATGCTGGCTCACGAACTCAGACCATTGCTGAGCTTTTAGGAACAATTCTGTATCCTCATCTGTATCATCACTTCACATGCTTCATCTTCCCACGCATTAACTTAGATGAGTAACCCACATGACTGAAAATTATATTAAAAGGTTCTCCTGTGCTCTGTACCTCTGTGCATAGCATCCAGGTGTTGATTTTTTTATACTGGTTTTAATCTAACAGTGATGACATTTTGTTTGCACAGGACTGTCTGGCACACTGGGTTTTGGCTGCCCATTAGAATTCACATATTACCACAACACAAAAAATGAATGTTAAAAATAGTACCTTCCATTGCCTGTGGCCACAACCAGAGTGTACAACTTTGAGCTAGTAGAAAAGATTAAACAGATGCTGAAACAAAGTCCACCAAAGTTAGAGGGGTGATTTGTAGTGACTTCAGTGGGTCCTCTCTCAGTTCTTAAGCAGGTTCAAATTCTACATCGCACTGCAAAATATAAATATCCAGTAACTGGGATGACAACCAAACACAGAAAGACTTAAGGAAATTTAAGGGGTTAAGTACAATTTTGTAAATGTCCTCTGAAGTCTCATGCAGTATTTTCTCTGACTGGAAAACAATTTTAAAAGATCCTTCCTGAAAAATTATAGAAATCAGATTCTTTCCATCCCTAAAACAAACCCAAAGTTTAATAATTTTCAAAAATTTCTAAAAATCTTTGAAAACATTGTGAAAATTTTAAGTTAATTTGCAAGTAAGTTTAAACTAAACATTTAATCTTGTTCCAGCCAACTTTAAAGCATAATCATGCACTTCCAAACATTTTCATTGACAAGTAAAAAAAAACAGCTGCCACTAAGGAAGCATTAATCATTAAGACAACATAGAAATATAGTTCTCATTTAAATAAGGAAATTGTTATTTCTTCAGCCTTAATTCTTGATATTTGCTCATTACCTTTCTGCAAGCTGGACTAAATAACCAAACACGAACAGGCAAAATATTTCAATTAGCTTCCCTGAAATCTCACTTCATGAGATAGTCAGAAAAATAAAAGTGCTTTGAAAAGCTTAGGTCACCCCCTGTCCCAGAGCACCCTGTGCCAGCACAGCAGCAGGGATGAAGGTTGTTCTATCCTGGCCTATCTGCAGGCTCCACACCACCTCAGAAAAATCATGGGGACTGTCTTGGTAACCCGGCTCACATAGTCTCAGGGAGGGATGGGGGCCTTAAGTGTGGGTAGAATATTTTCTCTTGCTAACATCTTTTTCCCCAATCTAAATCACGTAATTTATGCATGAGTATTGCATTGTCTTTTCAAAGAATAGTACAGCAGAAACAAAAAGAAATTTATAGTGGTCCATTATGATATATCAATTTATTGTATTTACTGAATTTTGAAAAACTAAAGAAATTTTCAATAAGTTCCACTTCTCACAACATCCGTATAAGCCAACTGGAATTTTCATTCCTCATATTTCCCAGTGGAGGGCCCTCCATATGCATGACTTCCTGTACCAGCTCTCATTTCTACGCTTCATAAAGGGAGACTCAGCATTTCTGTTACACAACTTCCATCCTCTCCAGACAGACATCAGGATACTATTTTATTAGGTCTTCAGACAGATTTAAACAACTTCTCCTGCTTTTCTTCAAATTAACAAAATTGTGTTTGATTGATAATTGTTCTTTGAGTTTTCCAGCCTCTTGGCATGCGTTGATGAAAAAGCCCAAAAGAATTGGACTGTTAGTTGACAACAATTCATAACTCCCTAATTTGAGTTCTGACCCAAAGAGACTCCACTTTAAATTACTATTTTATTCTCTACTCTTCTTTCTCAACCTTGGTATAGGTGTTTAAGAGTAAATCACTATTTATGGTTTAGGTGTCCTGACTACCAAGAATGGTCAAACTCCCTTGTTTTGGAGAAAAAAGTATGTTGTGGCACCCAGGTATTTCAAATGAAGTTAACTCCAACACAAGTAATGATAATTTAAGAAACTGAGATTCTTTGACTTGATTGTTACAAACTATCTGTGCCACTTAAAACCTTAAATTTTCAATGCTTGAAATAACAGCAGAATGTAAAACAGCTGCGCAAATTCATTATCAAATATCATGCAAACACAACATTCACCTAACTCCCCCTGTAAGCAAGACCTTCATTTGTGAAAGTATAAATAGGACAAGATACAGTTTTGGGCAGCAATAGATCTGGGCACCGAATTGCTGTCTATGTTCTTTTGGCACTGACTGAAACATGCTGGCATGATTTTTTCTCAACTGCATAACGTCACTCACAAATAGAGAACAAATTCCAGAGCTACTGCTCTGAAAGCATACTTCTCTCTTCACATTTAAAGAAATGTCAATGAGATTTTCTAAAGAAAAAGAGGCAGTATATTAATGCCAGCTGAAGGCAGTAATATTTGCTATTTGACATTTACTGAGTTATCTGAGAAAAAAAAAAGCACTATACAGAGAAAGGGATGAATTTAAATCCCGTGTGTGTAACTGATACAAATGAAAGTATGAAGTTGTCTCCATGCCCTGTGCAAGTGCAAGGGAGAAGTGAGGGCAGCAGGCGATGGTATGTGTCTGAAATAACAAACCCTTTCCACTAACACCCTGGCTAATGCACCGGTGTGGAGGCAAAGCCAGAGGAGAGAAGCTGCAGAAGCTGAAGTGAGCTTTTCAAATTTTACAGAGATGTGCAAACTGGAGTGGGAGTGGAGGAGGACGCAATGCCTTGGCTTAATTCCTGTAGCGTCCTGTCAAGTCCAGTGGTCAGAGCACAAAAGCAGTATTTGACCGGTGTGTTACAGTCCTCAGAGCAAAATAAAAGCATTATAAAAGCTTAGAAGCTATATTAATACAAGTTAATATGAACAGAGCTTAGGGACAAGGAAGTGAGAACATTCTCTTGGCCCAGAGGGGATAATCTATCTTTTCAAGATGAAGAAATTAGCAGGTTTTTTTCTTGGCCTTGAATAATTAAATTTTTCCCTCTTACATGTTAGATAGGCCACTGCCACAGACCTTCAAGGCTATCTTACTTTATTTCAATATACTGCACAAAGTGAGAAATAACTGGAACTGGAAAAAACTTTTTGAATCTCAGCCTCTCTCTGACTTCACTTTACAATACATTTGTATCTTGGTGCAGTGTTTTAATACTGTGATTAAATTTGTATTCCCCCTAAACTGCATTTTGTTTGAACTCCCTGGCTTGTGATCCCGTTTCCCCTGGTTTTCTTGATGTCAGCTTCTTCACTGCCGGCAGAAGATCCCTCCAAACCGCAGCTGCATTTGTAAATGTTTCATCAAAGGCTCTGAACGTCTGGTAAGCAGCAGACCTGGTGGGTGCTACGAATGTGATCTGGGTCTATCTCGGGGAAGAACAGCATGACCATATTTACTGCTGATGCTATTCTGGGGGCTGTATGACGTGCTTCTCCCCTCTGGCTGAGCAACACTTGCCCATTTGTCTTTCAACACTCACTCCAAGCATGACAGGATAAAATAAAACAAAATTTACTGGTAGCAAGCTTACTTGCATATTGAAGACTTCCATTTTAACAACCTGATCACGCAAACACACAGTCTTATTTCAATAACCACGTTAAACAATTTGTACTCTAGGTAGATCAGATTCCTAGGTTACATTAAAAGAAAATAAGCTAAATAAAAACTACCTCATAAAATAATTCAAATTAACATGGGGGCACAAGTTTATTTGTCCCCATAAATGAAATCTTAACTAAGGATGGTGGCAACAGCAACACAGTAGTTACAGATCTGCACACCACCTCCAAATGCGGACATCATCTGTGTCTCCCAAAAACTGTGAAAATAGGTGGGAAAATACTGCACTTCTTGAAGCAATCATGCACATAGGATCACCTCTTCCAAAATCAGGCAAGTAGTTTACAAACTGAAACTCACTCAGTAGCCAGCAGAATGAGCCAGGCACTTCCAGTGATTGATTAAACCCAACCTAGCGCAAGATCTGTGCAAGACTTTGTAAGAGAAAGGAAAAAAAAAAAAAAGAAAAAAAAATGAAAAACCCAACAAAATTTCAGATTAAAATCACATGCACATTTTCACACTTCAAGTGTTATCATTTTGCCAATATTAATATTTTTTTTTAAATCTATGTATATGCCACTGATACTGTATGGCACAGAAAAGGTCACTTTTTTCTTCTATTAAGCCTATAAAAATAAATCTTCAGCACTAAAACTGGATACTGAAATTTTGAGTAGGAAAATCCTGATGTAATAAATTTTAAAAAATGGCTAACATTTTTTAAATATTTCATTTGGCTCAATCTTTCAAATATGCAACCAACTGTTAAAGATTAAATCTGATTACAAGTTTTATGAGACAAATAAACTGCAGTCTCAAACACACAAAACCAAAACCATATCCCTTTCTATATGAAAACAAAACTGCAACCCCCAGCTTCTAACTTCAGCATGTTGTATCACAGAACCACAGTCCTCCAGCTCTATTAAATTCTTGTTTTCATGGCAGAACCTCATAGAAGCAAAAATAGCAGACAGATAACTGTGTGTGAATTAATAAATTTTTGCAGTGTTATCATATGAAACAAAGGAATTTCAAAATTAATTTTCGTTCTCAAATCAACTGAAAAAAACTTTGTACCTAACATAGCCAAATATCATGCAGATTAATGCCACCGACAAATTTTAAAATTAATAACCTAAAACACAAACTAAGGCAATCTCCACAATGGACTTCACAGCACTGCTGATTTTAGGCATACCTACAAGTGAAAGATTTAGTGATAAATACATGCCTAACTAAATACAAATGATTATTCTGTAAGTCAATTATATTTTTTAGGCATTCAGACATAATAGAACATCATATAATAGTTTTCCAAATACACCGTATTATTAGGAAGTGTAGTGGGTTAACATACACTTTGTGATTACAGCAGACAGTGTCATAGAAGAGGTATTTTTATATTTGGTATGAATCTTAAATGCCACTGTTACATGCTGAATATACAGTATAGCTAGGTTACAAAAACTTAAATAATGGATACTTTTTCATACAGGACCTTTTGTACAAGATCATAAGCTTCTACATAAAGGGAATTTATTTACTATGAGAACTACAGTTACTAAAGGATGATACTTTGAAAAAGTGCACTAGGAAACCTGGGTTAGACTCCATACCTAAAATGACATGTTTTCTACTAAAAAAAGACAAGATTACTTTTAAACAAAACTAAGGCTCAAAACTCTCCCAGTCACACAGTTTCTCTTTAGAAAAAAATAATGCAAATACTGATTTGTCCAATGTCTTTCTTGTACTTGCCAGAAGCAGAGATATACATAATTTATTCACATGCAGAGCTGCAAACACAATTTCACATGACTTCACCAAAATAAGAGCATAAAAACTGTACTGCACCTGCAGAATACAGAGAGAGTCACCCAAAATTCTGCACTGGTGGTTGTGCCTTCCAAAGAGCAGAATCTAATCTTTAAGCTGAAATAGAAAACTATTTTGCAGCAACATGACATTACATTAAGTGCATTTGCTAAGAAAGTCAGTTTTCAAGATGCAAAAGGGGCTGATACTGTAATCCACATGGTGAACAGGTTTCTTCATCATATAAAAATATCATGACATTATGTTATGAGCACTTAAAAAGCCAACAGAACAGAAGCAAGTCAAGAATAAATGAAATCTCATACCAGCTGGGAGGTTTAAATCATTTGTTAGGCTGATTATGATGCACTAACCCTTGCTATATTTTTTCATGTAAAATTAAAATACGTTCAGGTGTTTGACTTGTGTGTTAACTGTGGTGAGAACAATTTTCTTCCCTGGGACAAATATTCCTGGATAAGCATAAGAAACTTATCAATAGAAGAAACTTATCAATAGTGTGCACTTACTAACTCTGGCATAACAAGCATCTGTTTGTCTTTTACTGTTTTATCAAAAATCAGTTAGAGTAAGCCGCATTATCCTCACCAAAGTTTAAGCAGATTGAGGGAGTGGCTTTCTATTAATGGTCTTTGCAGTGTAGCCTGCTTAGCCCCATGGTAGTGTCCTCTAAAGCTCAATTCCTCTATTGGAGACTTTGTTAATAGAAACCTATCTCAGAAGTGACTACACTGTGCATGAAAGCATCCATATTATATTCATCGTCAAAGAGCAAAACCCTCAGCGTTTGCATCTCTGGTAGCATTTGCCTTTTCTACATCATCATCTGAAAGAAAACCCCAAAACATTGTCATAATTAGAATGATAATGATTTTCAATTAATTTCACAAATGGATTCACTCAGAAGAACAGTTAACCAATTTCGTGAGGTATAAGAAGCACCAACACTAATTCATTGGTGAAAGGCAACAGCTGCTTGTTCTGCTTCAGCACGGCAAAACAGGAGTGTGACAGCCATGGCCAGCAACATGTATTTTAAAATTATAAATATTATATCTATTTGCTATTTAAACATTAATTGATCATCTTTAAATTAAAAATAAAAGCATTTCCATTTTTATAAGAAAAAAAAGAAGTCACAAGACAGACCTCATGGTAAGACAAAATTAGGTATGGATACAGACAGATATATGGCCTCATCCCTGTGTCTGATAAAATCTGCCAGATGAAATCAAGACAGATTATAAGGAACTGCAAGGTCCAGGGAGCAGCTGGAGAGGTGTGATCCCTATAGAAGTTAGCACAGATCTTGAGGTGCACTCACCATTGCAAAGGTATCCCGGTGTGACCACAGACCCCTGGTCTTCTTCACTGGAGTCAGGAGAGGGAAACAGTGGAGCTGAGACTGTCTGCCAGAGAAGGAATTCTCTCTGTGAAGGTCTGCAATCACTGGTGATGAAAATACTAACTAATGAAGGAGGATTTTCAATTAATAGGTGGCCTAAAGCATGGCAAAAGGCCTAGATTTCTGGGAAGATATAAGTGGCTCTCAATAGAGGTATTCAGAAAAATAGCACCATGGTGAGCAGAAAGGCTGCTGAACTTCTTTTTCCTACGCTATTAAAGCAGCACGGATGAAAATTATTTAACCCACTAACTAGTTTACATGAAAATTACCAGAGGAATTAAGATCTCAAAAGTATGACATTCCTACAATTTGAAACAAAGGAAAGCCACAAAATACACATCCAGGCAGAAAAGAGATGCTGTGCACACCACTAACAAATACTAAACCACCCCTATTCTTACCTGTTGTGAGAGCTAATACAAACCCTCCAAACAATTAGAAAAGCTTCAATCAGGTCTTGGACCTCCTCAGGCACCTGGAAAATCTGTAGGACATGGCAATGCAGGACTCTAGAGCTTTGGGTCCTGCTGCTAGTTAGTTCTTCAAAGCACAGAACAGGGTGAAGATGGAGGACTTCAACAACAAAGGGACCTGTTGGGAAGGTACTACAGGGTCATTACAGTATAGAAACATAGAATCATAGAGTGGTTTGGGTATTAAGGGGCCTCAAAATCATCTCATTCCAAGCACCCTGCCATGTGCAGGGGGACATCTTCCAGTAGACCAGATTGGTCATAGCCCAATCCAACCTGGCCTTGAACATTTCCAGGGACTGGGCATCCACAAACTCTTTGGGCAACCTGTTCTGGTGCCTCAAAGTAAAGAATTTTTTCCTAATATCTAGTGTAAACCTACTCTCTTTCAGATTTCTTTGAAACCATTCCCCATTGTCCTGTCACTACATGCCCTTTTAAATAGTCTCTCTCCATGTTTCTTGTAGGTTCCCTTCAGGTACTGGAAGACCGTTGTACAGGGAAAAGTTTTGTAACCAAGCAGATAAGTGACTACGTCAAATCTGGACTATCTTTTAGTTTTAATCGATGCGGGGTAAACTGACTGAAAACACAAGACTAAGGGCAACTTGGGTGAACGATTATGAGAAAATATTACTTGCAATTCCTAGAAAAAGAGAATAGAATTAAAAACAAAAAAGGTGACCAGTAAAGCTGTCAGCTTTTCTGTCTGCTTTCAATTGCATTAAGGCAATTGTTTGTATAGATGCTCTGCAAACGGAGCAAAGGATTCAGCTTTAAGAGCAAAATAAAAATAAATCTTTTTGCTGGATTATTTTTAAGCTGGATTGGTTCCCTGATCCAAATCACAGCTCAATGAAGAAACAGTTGTGCTGGCAGCACGGACGGCTGGGGGCATGAGAATATCTCAAGCCAGTGTCAGCCAAGACTGCCCTGTGAAAACCACAAACTTAAGATTTGCTCTCCACTAGGTTATAATTTATTAAAAACTCCAAAGAGAGCAATCCATTTTCTTAAAGAAATAATGTGAAGGGCATAAACACAGACTACCTTGATGAGAAGAGAGAAAGAGTATCACAAGATAAACGACTAAATTGAGAGCTCTTCAATGATCCTGAAACACTAGAAGGAAGTATATGCAAGTAAAAAGTAGGTCAAATTACTAAAGGATGAATTTTAGGGAAGAGTGAAAGTATGTAGGAGCAAAATCAGAAAGGCCAAATCACAAAATGAATCTTGGTTAGGACCAGAAAAGGAAACTGAGACAGCCCCAAAGGAGGAGGACGAGGAGGGCAAAGGGAAGGGCTGTACCCCGGCTCAGCGGGGAGGGAAAGCTTTCAGATGCACCAGTGAGATCAGCTTTCACTAAAAGATACTATGTATTTTGATTTCAGCAAAGCTGTTGATGTTCATTAAAGGTGATCTAGGCAAAACTGTAAGAGACTACACGTTGTTTACAGTTACTAAGTAATGTTAATAATTATTAAGTCCCACGCCTGAAGGATGTATGAAATGCTAAATCTGTACCAAATCCTTTAATATTCAATGCATTCATTAATAACTTTGATCTTGGAAGAGTTCAGTTACTGTATATGCGAACGTGCAAACTTAAAAACGCAGGAGGACCTGCAACATGGGATTAAAATTAAAATTACCTTGAGAACAATCTTATGGAGGGAAAAAGAGTGTGCTAGTGAAAACCTGCTGAGTGAAACTCAACTTCACTAATACAAAGGTGGAAGCAACTACGTAAACAATATTCTGTGGGAAAGGATTAGGAAAACAGCAAATCATGCACTGAAGATGAGCTGTTACACATCATCTTGTTGTGTGGAGATCAGAATCATCACACTGCTGATTCCTGGCACCACTGTAAAAGAATAATGTCATTTGGGAGTCATACAAAATTATGCTACTTTAATATGACACAATATTAACCAAATAGTGTGGTTTGTTTTCGAAACCAGAAAAATTAGCAACTACATAATATAACTGGAGAAAGTCCAGACAACAGCAACTGTGACAATCATGAGGTCTAGGAGAAAATAATGAAAGACAGAACCTGCTTGGGCTAAAGAAAAAAACTCAAGCAAGACAACACAAACCATCTTCAGACTTCGGAATTTGCTGCAAAAAGGAAAGCCATAAACCTTTCCCATCTTCCCTGAGGAAGCAAGACTTGAGCTGCAGCAGCTGCAGAATTCCTATCACCATTTAGGAAAAACTTGCTGGGAATAAATCTGATTTTGTAGATCTTTTCCACCTGTATAATTTGAGTGCTAATTTAGGGCAATCATTATGATATGACACTTTTCTTCAAATCAAGTGTTATAAAATCAAACACATTTGGAGTTAGGTTTTTTTTAAGTGGATTAAGGTATTGTGATGCACTTGTTTTTGTTTTGCAGACATATATAAAAAACCCAAAACAACCAACAACACAACTGTAAATGCTGACGAGATCCAGAAACAATATTTTTTATTTTTTTTCACCATTATAAAATATCCTAATACCTTTATACATTAAAAAAACCATAATCATTCCAATACACTGTATTGTATTTGTATGGAGAGTATTGTCACTGTTAAAATTACTTCAGAGACAAAGGTGATCAACATAAATGCTACATTTCCTTAAAAAAAAAAACGAAAACGCATTTTTATTTAAAATCTAATTCAATTGCTTGGAACAATGCTGAAAATAGAAGTCTGGGTACAGAACATACTCATTTTGTTTTCAAGTTAGAAAAGTATCTGTATTTTTGTTTTTATAAGCTTTATCAGCACTTTTGCAAAGAAAATAATAACTGTATTCACTGAGTAAGCATAATATCTCTGGAATTAAATATACTGTCTTACTGGCTAGTTCTCAGCTTCAATTGTAAGGTAGAACTGACACTTACTGATGCATCTAGGAGAGTAGATTCATAGCACAACATTTCTCAAATATTTAAGCAAATTTTTTGCAAAAGAAAAAATCCTGTAGAATTATTATTTCCATATTTACACTACCTTATGTGGATTTACAGTATATTAGGAAAAAGTGTTATGTTCCTGTTCTAGAAGTCAGACAACATTATCTGTGTTAAAGTTATACCGAACTAGATTTATAAACTTTAATTTAGAATCCAGACATAAAAATAGGCATAAAAGTTGTGGCTGCTCATATAGAGCCAGGAAAGATCTATATGCCTTTGAAATTCCTACACTGTGGCTTCTATACCACCTTTACTTCTCTGTTTCTGCCTCCCACACAGCAGTTCTGTTTGTGAACTCCTCCAATACAATGTGTGCAGCTCATGGAGCTCATCAGTTAAGCATCCTGCCTCCATTCTGCAGAGTACTTGAGAACATTCTTTAGAGCTTGCTTTATTTGAGCAGAGATATCTTGCAGATGTTTAATTTAAGGCTCGTGTGTAGTCTCACTGAAGTAAATGGGATTACTGAAGTACTTAAAGTAATTCCCTGCTGAATCAGGCTTTTATGGGTAAGAATAAATGTGCCTAATTTTTATTCATGCATCAGATATCTATAGACTAATAGTTTAAACTCAGCAGTTTTGTATCCAGTTAATGTTAAATCTCTGGAGTTAGTGTGTCTTCACCTGCTGCATCTACCATCCCTATACCAAGGACCTTTTTACATAAAACCCCACAGCACAGTTTTTGCATACATACTGTGTCACCATACACTCGTGTTTCGTATATATACAGTGTTATCAGACCTAGTGCTGTGATGACTTCTTTGTAAATGATAAATAATCTGCACCTGGTCCTCATATTTTCTGAGTGTTACATGTATGAAAGACTTCAGAAAAGAACTCTTATAATGTAGATTAAAAAAATAGCGGAAGCAATTCTATTTATTTTGGACAAAAGAGATAAACTCATTCATAGACCTATAACTGCTTACTTCCTGTATCTATGGAGTTGTAGAATAATTTTTAACTTAATTCTGGGCAGAAGGAAAGGAAACAAAATCCGTGGATCTAAGGTATTTAACACATACATGCTAAAGATTGCATATGAACAATACTTACACCGCAGCCAGAAGGAAACACATATTGGCATGAACTAAAGTTGAGGCTTGTCAATGCAAAATCTGTCAGAAAAAAAAAACACCAAAAAACCTCAAATAATAAATCTACAACCTTATCAGCAATGAGACACCTGTGATGTCTTACATCATCAAGACCTGGCTGACTGATGCTAAGAGTTCTCTGCAAAGCACTTCTATTCTCACATGGATCAAAATTTAAATTTTCAGCAGGGAATAAGAAAAGGCTGTCAGTGACGAATTCATCTTGTCATCAAGTGTCAAGTTCATTTAAATTGATTACTTCATTTTAATGAATACACCTGAAAATATAAACCACATGCAAAATTACCACTGATTTTAGCATCATTTGCAGATCACTAAAAAAGGAGCCACTGACACACGTGTGATAACACAAGAAAAATAATACGATTCTCTCCTAAAATTTTCATTGTTTCATCTCTGGCCTATCTGATCTTGTTGATTCATCTAATCTAATATTAAAACCTGTAAAATTTAAACCAAGGGAGTAAAACAAAGGACTAATAGGCAGATGCCTATTTCATTTATGCAACGATACAACATCTTCTACTGTACAGATGTAAGGACTTAAGGCAGCCCCAATTAGTTACAGGTTTGGGATACCATAATAGACATTAGATCAATAGCTTTAGGGATAAACAATTTATCGTCAAGTAACACTACAGTGACACATATGCATCAGGAGTGCAATTACCCAGATCATTACAATGGCAAATCCAATTATTCACTAGTACAACTACTGAGGTGGAAATGACAGCAAATCCAGTAATTCACTGATACTCAGGTTGGTAAAGGACTTGCACAACCGTGATTATTGTCCAGGCCGTTAGGCAGCAGAACATGGCTGCTTCTTCAAAGAAGCAGCTCAGATCCACAGAGGGGCTAAGACAATCTCATTCTCCCTCAAGAGGCTACCTCTTCCACTGCCAAGTTGCAGAAGCACTGTCTGGACTTGCTAACCTGTCATCACTCTCCACCTCTGCTCCCCTCTGTGCTGGTTGTGTCCCTGCTATGCACAGGGTGTCATGTAAGGCAATAGTGGCTTTACACCTCTGTTGTGCACACAGCACCCAGAAACACCACGTAAAGCAATAGTAGCCCCCCAACAGATAAACCCAATGCTCAACAGCTCCAGTTCAAGCGCGACAACTCATGTACTTCATAAAAACTTCTCATATAATAACATGCGGTTATAAACAGGAGGACTCAACAACTAGTTAATTGTTTACCAGTATCAGTTATTACACAT